GGTCTCGTGGTGCGGGAAGTAAGGATAAAAGTTGGTAAATTAAATCATTTGCATTTATTAACAACGTTTCTTCATCCGTATATACATTGAGCCTGTCAGGCAGGTCAATCATGTTTGCTTCCTCCCGCCAGTTGTTTCAGTGTTCATCACCCTCCGTGAGGTCTTCTACCTTGCCAGAAGTAATGGACAGTCTTGCTATTTACACATCTTTCTTGACCTGTTCCTCAGCCTGCTTGGCCTGATTCGAAGCCATCTTGGGACATAGACCGAACCCGATGTGGGCCTGGCATTATCTTACAATAGGGACATGAACGCTCCTCACGCGACCTTTTTTTTTCTTGGGCTTGTCCTGTTGGTTGGGGCTGATTGGGTGCACCGTTGTCCGGTTTGTGCCGTTTGTTAGTAGCGGTAGTGCTACTCTCAGGGTGGTTGGTTGTCTGCGAGTTTTGACGCTTGTTCTGCACTCGCAACTGTTCCCTTAGCATTCGGTCTCCTTGCACCTTGGATGCCGCTCTTATGCTTGCCTCAGCCATAGTGTGAAACTTAGTGTGTTCTATATTTGATAAGTGCCTCTCACTCCTATCAGGTTGTTTGTCTGCCTTGATGAGAGCATCTGTTCCACGAATTTCTTCAATAAGGGTATGAGGTCTCTGTGTAATCGCTCATTTGCGACTAAACACCAGGTGCTGCGACGATGCCTGCTCGATGATTTTCAAGAGGATGTCATTATTATGTTCATTCGGGAGGAAGCCATGTTTACACATGATTGAGACTAGTGTCCTCGTCGCTGATTTGTCCAATCATTGGTGTTGTATGGCATATGATGAGTGTACATCGAGCCAAACTAAACAGTCGCCAAGAAATGTGGCAGCTATCGATTGTAATGGATGATAACCAAACTTGTAAATGTTGTTCTTGAGACTTGGTACATACCCTTCGATGTATTGGTTTACACGTTCTTTGCAATAGCGTGACCATGTATGGCCATCTAATCCAAGTTCGTGTAGGGTTTCTTCAACGGTGTAGTGCCCTACTGTGCGGTATTGCGCTATTGAATTAGCTATGTCATCATATGTGATTGCATCTAGCTCTACAGATTCGTCCGTGGTTTTTACCGCCTAAATTCTTATTGCCAGGTGCGGTAGGTTTTATATCAAAGTATGGTGACTTTGTGCCTACTAGACAACTTGTGTGAATCCCCACGGTGTCTTGTCACAAGATGTTGTGCCTTCTTTCAGGAACGTGATGTTCGTGTTTTCTACTATCTTTGGGTCTTGTTCTAGTAGTGATAAGAATTGGGGAACCACGTTGCGTTTGGGTAATAAAATACACATATTCTGACGCTAGTAATTAGCTCCCAGGGATAATTCGTCCATAAGTTTATTTTATCTGCCCACCTTTGAAGTAGTGCATTCTGTTCTTTGATTGCTGTGTGTGTATTGTGCGCTGCCGCAAATAAATCGATGGTAAATTTCTGAATATGCGTTCTGCCTCTTTTTATAATCGTGTATGTTGTATTTTCAGTCTATGGCTGATATTGGTATGACATGTTTGTTTCAAAGTCTGTGTATTTTGACTATTGTATGTGTTCTATTTAAATACCTTCCTTCAACACAGTTGAGGTTTTCATTTTGAAGGTCTCTTCATGAAATCATGATAGCATTTCGGCAACTTGGTTGTCTTTGCCAGGCACATGTATGATTATAAAGTGGTGATGGAATATTTTTGCTATCTACTTTGCTATTATGAAATGGAGAGTTTGCTGTTGGTTTATTCGACATAGAACTTTGTGGTATTCCTGTAGCGTTATATCACCCTATAGCAAATTAGGTGAATGAATGAACCAAATCAATCTGGTACTAGGTTGGCTGGTTCAGTCATTCACCTAATTTACTACAAAACAGGAAAGGTCGCGAGTGTAGAAATACGACCTCCGGTCAGTCTAAAATATCAAGATCAAATGAGATAACACATTGGTTTTTATTTCTATTTAAAATATTTTAATACAAGTTCATTTTCCAATATTTCCAAAGTGTTCTAAATTAACTTTGATGGCTCCAATAGCCTGAGTATTTGGTATGACTCATTTACTTGTGTGGTAAACGAACGCTTCAATAACTGTATCACAACGTTCTCCCTCCGTAGAAAGGGAGACGTTGTTCATTTATTAGTAATTGTAAAATTAGTGACTTTAAAAGTGAGTCATAAGTCATGTGCTGTAATAGTCAGCAAAAACCAAGTTTATCAGATTATTCTGATAAACTGTAAAAACTATAATAACTAAAATAAACAACTAAAACCTAAGTACTTGTATTCTGACCACACTTGGACCTATTTGAGACGATAGTAGATGTAGGATATTATTAACTAAATTTTATAATCTCTGAACTACTACTTACAAGTTTTGGTCTTCCCGCCAATCTCCAAAATCCAATATGTCTTTTTCTTTTTTAACTTTTCTTCAGATGGAACTTTATTTATATTAG